ACGTCCCCCATTAGTATTTCCTACCTAAAAACCAACTTGCTTAGATAGAACTTTGAAATACTTGGAAGTCTCTTCAACCTCTGATATCCAATAACCTCATCTCTTTGTTTTTTCTCAGTTCTTCAATTACTTTATCCTAGTCGCGATTTTAGTTTCCAGTGTCATTTATGTTTCCTCACCAAAACTCTGCTTAATAAGAGTTGCACTTTAAAGAAGAACTTAAAACATCAACCAGTCTCAAATGATGGAATGAAATAAAGAGGCTAGGCGCAGTGGCTCACACCTATAATCCCAGCAATTTCAGAGGCCGAGGCAGTTGGATCACCCGAGGTCAGGAGTTCAAGACCAGCCTGGCCAAGGAGGTGAAGCTCCGAGATATCTACTAAAAAAAATACAAAACTTAGCCAGGCATGGTTGCACGCCAATAATCCCAGCTGCTCGGGAGACTGAGGCAGGAGAATCGCTTGAAGCTGGGAGGCGGAGCTTGCAGTGAGCTGAGATTGTGCCATTGTACTCCAGCCTGGACGACAAGAGCAAAATTCCATCTCAGAAAAGTAGTGAAGAGGCTATTTTGGACCACAAGATAAAATGGAATCAGTGCTGAATTAAATACATGATTACAAAATCCATACCCAGGAACTTTGGATAATTTCATAATATGTATTATTATTTGTCTCAGTTAACCAAGTATCCTGAGTGCCTTATGTGAAAAATTGGAAGAGAACCAAGAAAAGCTTTTACTTGGAGAGTCACTGATCAAGGGAAGAAAATAGTAAATTTTATAGAATGAAAATTTGGATTTTCCTTAAATTTTTACTTCAATTTTGGGACACTAAGGAAAGATGAAATGTTCAGGCCTCTTTTTCCCCCCGCTTCCTGGAGATGTCAGTAGAATACATACAGAAATTAAAACTGGTTTTAGGACTTGGTTTTATAGATAAGGTGGTATTATCTAAGAATATCTCCCAAAGTATTTGCTTTTCAGAAATGGTATTTATTTTTAAATTTTAAAAAATATATGGAATTAACTGTTTCCCATTTCTGGTCCAGAACTGTGATACTTTTTCTCAGTCAACTTTTTTCTCAACTTTGCTATAAACTAGCTATGTATGCTTGAGCAAATTTCATTCATTCTTTTTTCTAAAGAGACAAGAGTCCTGCTCTATTGCTGAGGAAGGAGTGCAGTAGCATGGTCATAGCTTACTGCCTCCTTGAACTTATGGGCTCAAATGATCCTCCCACCTCAGCCTCCTGAGTAGCTAGGATTATAGGCATGTGCCACCATGCCTAGCTAGTTTTTTTTTTTTAATTTGTTGTAGAGGCAGGGTCTTGCTATTTTGTCCAGGCTAGCCCTGAACTTCTAACCTTAAGTAATTTTCCCACAGCCTCCCAAAGTGCTAGGATTACAGGCCTGAGCCACTGCACCCAGTCTGAGCAAACTTCTTAACCTTCTGGGCCTTCATTTGTTTATCCCAACCTCCTCTTTGCTCTCAAGTTATGAAGAGACTAAATCATATGCAGATAACCATTTGCTAAAGAATTACACTGTAAAATGCTTTTAATGATAAAATTATCCTAATCACATTTAATTTTGTTTTAATTGAGAAGACACTAGAGGCCTAACTACTCAAAGTGTGGTTCCTGAAACAATAGCTTGTTAGTAATATAAAACCTTGGGCTGTACCCCAGATTCTACATTTTAACAAGATCACCAGATTTCTTACATGCACATAGTTCAAAGGGCAATCATGTGAAACCACACTTACTGTTGAAAACAAAAATAGTGGATTTGAATTGTTCTTTCCACCACCATTGTGCCAAGCCCACTCTTTGCCACTTTGTGAAAATCAAGAATTAAGAAATACTAATGAAATATTTTTATATCTATAAATGGTGACACCTTAGTATAATTTCAGAAATACTAGTTAGCTTTATCAGTGCGAGTAAGTACTTAAATCATGTTTCTTTTTTGGCAAATGGAAATAGACTCCTGTTGAGAGTAGAGTTTTCTTTGAAGGTATGAGATAGCATAAGCACAGTGAACAACATGTATTTCTTTGCATATGCTCCCTTAGACTAGTAATAGGTACTGGCCTAAATTACTTATGTAGTGTGCTGACCAGTGACCTTGGGTGGATAATTTGTCAGACGCTTCATGTCTGAAATAAAGCCTTTGATATTGAGAAACACAGGTGTTAATGTAGGCATTAGTGCCCATTATTTGCAGACTGAAACAAGCTGCTCAGAGTATTTGAGTCTGAGACAATGTGACTCATGCTTTAAAGGGGCAAAAGATTTCTACTTTTTTATCCTCTTGAAAATGACTATTAGATAAAGAAGTCAGTGCTTCTCAGCATCTAGCTTTGAGCCTTTGGGCAACTATGTATGATAGGCTCTGTTCCAAGGATTCATTCAAGGAATGCTGCCATTCACATTCCCTCACAGAAATCAACCGTTGCCTGTGTGGGGAGGTATGTTGATTTTGTTCAGAAATGGGTATGGTAGGGAGGGATCGCTTATCCATTCACCTTTTGCCACCAAACATTCTAAACATCAGGCCTGAACGTATCCATCTTACTGTCTGAATCCTTCTGTAATTAAAAGGAAATATGATTACCTGAAAGCATTTTGAAAGTGCCAAAGCTGTATAGGCAAATGTATTTACTATTAATAGTAAATTAGTGGAGCTTTGAAAACATATAATTTTGCGTTGCAGCAATTTCCAGTTTACGTACTGCCAAAAGTAGAGTATCAGGCTTGTTACGGAGTTGAAGCTCTGACTGAAAGTGAACTTTGTCGCTTATGGACTGAAAGTTTATTGCATTCCAACAGCTCATTCTATGTTGGTAAGTTATACAAAAGTCTTTATTCTCCTTTATAATTTCCTTGTAATCACATACTTGTAAATTCAATTGTGAATACTTCTATTCTGCACTTTTTTACTTTAATTTTTATGTATGTATGTATGTATTTATTTTTAGACAGAGTCTCACTGTTGCCCAGGCTGGAGTGTAGTCATGTGATCATAGCTCACTGTAACCTCGAACTCCTGGCCTCAAGTGATCTTCCCACCTCAGCCTTCCCATAGCTGGGGCTGCAGGCATGTGTTGCCATTCCCAGCTAATTTTTTGTTTTTTTCTTAAGATGGGGTCTCATGTTGCCTAGACTGGTCTTGAACTTCTGGCCTCAAGCAATCCTCCTGCCTTAGTCTCCAAAAGCTCTGGGATTACAGGGATGACCTACCATGCTGACCTATTTTAAAAACACTTGTTTAATAGTATAATCAAAAATACGCATTTGTTTTCTAAAACAAGCTTCTTTTAAGAGTACTATTTAATTGGTTATTTATTGATCTATAAGTTTATTTTGAAATTTTTGTATAATGACACTACTTTTAAAACCTCAAATATTTTGATGAAACGACTTTTTCCTTTTCTTTTTGTTTCATTTTGTGAGGGCATAGGGATTAGGCTGGAGTTTAGTTTGCATTGGCTCAGTTCATGTACAGTTAACATCCTCACATAATAGATTACTCCTTAGTCGTTATTGGTATTATTTCCTTCACTGGAATGTCTAATATAAAACATCTCAATACATCCCATAAATCTCAATCCCTTCTGATCATCTCGAACTGCTCTTCCACGGAGTCTTTTGCATTCTTTGATCTCTCAATGCAGCCTTTTACTTCTCTATGACTTTTTACTTTGTACTTTATTGTGCTCTCTTAACACCTATCCCTTCTTCCTGTTAGACAATAAACAGCTTAAGGTCAGACTCTGATAAAATTCTGTATTGAGTCTAATAAACTTTTTTGTTATTACAGTGCTTAGCATGATTCCTTGTATGTAATAAATCCTGTGAGGGTGTTTTTCTTGCTTAAAGAAAGGTTATTCACTTAAATTTTTTTTCCTATTTTGGTTAATCAGTATTTTGTTTTCATGTTTTATGAGAGTATTAGATAATTGATTTATTCTTTCTACTTAACTCAAAAAAGGAAGTAGCTAAATGCCCTGATTGGTAGTATACTGCCTCCTTCCTCCTCCTTCAACACATACTAGAAGTTTTTGTAGTAATTTTCAGTCTGTAACCAGAATTTCCAGTGTTCTTCCAAAAGATCTCACACCAACAATCTCAACATTCGCTACTTGAAAGCAGTTTGCCAGCCACATCCATTTTAGGAAAGGAACAAGTAAACCTTGTGAGTGAAATTTCGTTTAAAGTACTGACAGAGAATGGAGATTCATGGAAAAAAAAAAATTGAGATTTGAGTTTTTTAAATGTACACTTTAACATCACTTCTTCTTATTTTTAAAAATCCTAAGTAATCATTGCCCTGTGTACTAATTATTCTCTCTGAATCCTATCCACTTGTGAGCCTTTCATTTCAATGTACGGAGGTAGTATTTTTGGTTTCTGTGACAAGTGTTTGGTGAAAAACATATATTGTCTGGTTGTAGGATTTTGGTTTGCTTTGAATTTTTTTTTTTTTTTTTTGTATGGTTATGGGGGGATATGTTTTAAAATGCTATTTTAGAAGTGTCTGTGAGCTTTTGAATTTTTTAAAAAGTTGTTACAATACCGTTTTTTTTTTTTTTTTTT